TTTGTAGTAAAGAATCGGACTCTTCAAATTGAGAAATTTTATAATACTTAAATAGTAACTAGTGTACATATACAATAATTACTCAATGGACCTACTTTTTAAGAAAGAAATAAACACATAAAAAAAACACATCCGGATCCATAAAAAATGATAAGAAGATTTCCATATTAGCTATAAAAAAAAATTTAATTTTCTCTCATGTTTATGTCTATCTCTTTTTATGGAGTAATTTACACTACTTAATCATTAAATATTATAAATTTTGTCCTTTAAATCCATTAGAAGGAGAAATGAGCTTTAAAATGTGACAATTAAACTCATGATGGCTTGATAAGTCGAAAACATTTTTTTTTTACATTTCGGTTACAACTTTGTATATATGTTTAGTCCCTTAATGTTTTATAATTGAAGCTTTATATATTTTGAATTTCCTTGTAATTCTTTTACGATGGAATATAAGCTTGATATGGTCATAAATTAAATCTAAAATCCATTCATCAAGCTCGATATCTGTTGTATGAGAGGACTGAATTGCATTCATCCTCGTAGTTGTGACATGCATTATCAATATGATCCTGGCTATTTTGTTTGAAGTATCGGTCTAATTGATTTTGAAAAAGGTATGCTTATAGAACAAAATTTCCAACTCATTCCGTCATCATTAACATTTACAACTTCGGACAATGAGAAATCTATGATGATTTTAAGCACTTAAAAAACAAAGGGACAAGAAACTACCTATTAACAAAGCAATATTGTAGTGGTAAAATAAACCGAGATGAAACTAAAGGCTGATTTTTATTAAATTAATTTGATAGTTCAAATTAGATTCTATTTAAAAATATATTTAAGTTTTGTGGTAGATGATTCATTCTTAATTTTATATTTTACTTATTTATTACTTATTTATTCGAAATTGAATATTTTTTCTAACATTCTCTTTTATTAATAATCCGTGACTTGGATTATGATATCGTATTAAATTTGATAGTTGAAATTGTATTTTATTCAAAAGATTTAAATTTTTTTATGGATGGCATAGTTTCAATTTTATATATTACTTATTTATTATTTATTATTTATTTATTCGATGCGAAATAATTTCGCTAACAATTTTAATTGGGTCATTCATAAAGGATTGGTTTTTTTATTATTAAGGGTCTTATAATTAAACCATTATGATAAATTTAAATAAAAGTAAAAATGTAATTAATTTATTAAAACAATTTGGTTTTATTATTTTCTAGTTATTCGTATATTAATATAGTATAAAGTTAGATAAGCGAGATCGAATTTCATTCAAAAGACTTAAATCTTTGGTAGGTGACACTTTATTAATTGTTTATTTATTAAATATGGAATAAGTTTTCTAACACTCCTCCTCTCTTATAGTTTATTTTTTAAGGTCTATCAAGTAATTTAGATTTCAAGATTTTTGTTGGATCGTTGAATCTCTTTAAAGTTTTGATACCATACAAAGTAGATAGTTGAGATTGAGTTTTATCTAAAAAAATTCAATTTTATGATAGGTAGTCCTTTATCAACTTTATATATTACTTATTTATTATGTATTTGTTCAATATAAAATAGTTTTACCAACACATGGAATTAATTATGCCTTTTCTCTAACTTAGCTAATTTTGTCTTAAAATAAATCATGAAAATTGAACTTTTTCTCGCTTTTGATTGAATGAGAGGGGCTTGGTTACGAAATTTATTACACACACATGATACTAATAAGGATAAGATTTACTAGTTAATATCATTGTTTAACTCTAAGTCTTTATCCTTCTTATCTCTCGTATAGTTAGTGTTCTATTAGCTAATTAACTCTTGTGTATATATATATAGACTGTAACATAATATAATGTAAAGGAGATTATTCGAGTTCTACATGGTACCAAAGCCAATCTAAGCTTAATAGCAAAAATATACCTCTCTCCATAAACTTGTTGTTGCTATCGCAAACCTTTTTTTTCCTCACCAAAACCCTCTATCGCACAATTATGTCTACTATAAAACCATATTCATCCCTTCCAATAGCTACTTACTCCATGACTTTGACCTCGCTACTTTGCCCTTTAAGCCAACAACTACCGCCCAACTATATCTACCGCACAATCAAACACTACTCTTACTTCATCCGCTACAGCTATTGTTCCAATAGCACCTCCATCAACATTGCCCTATTCATGCCTTCTAAGCTTCGACTCTCAAAACTTGATCAAGCTTACTCCAACAAATTTTATCCTTTGGCAAACCCAATTCTAGCCATTCTTACGCTGCCATGGTCTCCTCCATCACATTAATGGAACCTAATTTTCACCTACTGCCAACATCTCTATAACTAAACAAAATCTAGCCTATACTTGCCTAAGAATGCCATGATTAGTTGGTCCGCTCTTGGATTGTTATATCATTATCAAAGGCAGATCCTTCCTCTTGTGGTTGGTGCACCAACAAGCACGGGTAGCTTAGGTTAAACTCATTGTCGCATATGGTTCTAGAACATGAACTCAAATTAATCATCTTAAAAGTACTTGTATATTGTTTTGTCCAATGACCATCTAAAACCATTCCTCAATAATTTTAGTGAGGAAAGACCATCTATGACCTCCTGCACTCTCTTGGATTGCCAATACCTAAAGATGACTTGGTTCAAACCTTATTATGAGATTTTAGTGCCTTCTATCGACCTTTTGTTCACTTCATTGAATCCAAACGTGAGGTTATCCTTTATGAGGCCTTGTATGATCTAAATTTAAGTGAAGAATTTCAACTCCAAGATGGCCTCCATCCTACTCGAAATTCTAATATACCTATTATCCCACTAGACGACCTACTTATCATGGCCATGGTCGTCTTGGTAGACGATCACAATCATATGGTTCTCACCAAGTGGTCTTTCGGTTTTGCTACGGTATAGACTGCATCTAGTCTAGTTACTTGCTTTAAGTGTAATGACACTGGTCACCTTACTAATGTCCGTCCGTCTCCAAAATCATGTCTAGACAATCACCTATATAAACCCTTCTCTTATCTCGCTTTCTCTAACTTCTTTCCTAATACCTCTCAATGGATTATGGATACTTGAAATGACCAACCATATGACAGCACAATTGGAAAACTTGGCCATTCACAATGAGTATCATGATCCTGAAGAAATGCAACTAACTAATGGTAAACATGTTCCCATTTCTCATGTTGGTTTTTCATCATTTAATCTTCCTAATCGTTCTTTCGAGTCTCAATAACATTTTACATGTTCCTGTTATCGATCAAACTTTATTATCCATCAAAACTTTTACATAAAATAACTCCTATTCTCTTGAATTTTTCCCTAATAAATTTCTTGTTAAGGATTTGGCTACATAGGAAATTCTCCATGAATGAACTCTTGAAAACGATCTCTACACCTTCTCTTTAGCCCTACTTTTGGGTTATTCGTGCTCTATTCAAGCTCACGAGTACTACTTTTGGGACTTGGCATACTTGTCTTGGTCATGCCTCCTTTAAGACTATTCAATGTACCTTAAAGGATGCTAATTTATCTTTTTCTAAACCACATTTCTCATTATGTCATACATGTTCCATTAGCAAAATACATAAATTATCACTTCATCAATCTAGCTATGAGGCTAAGGCCCCATTAGAATTAATTTTTTCGATGTTTGGAGACCTTCTCTTATACCTTCAATTGATGGTTACTCATTCTATGTCTTATTTTATGATCATTACAAAAAATATTGCTTGAATGTTTTTTCATCGTAAATCCGAAATGCTTAATTGTTTTGTTAAATTCGGACATGTTGTAGAAATTTTTTGACAAATTAATTAAACAATTTTAGTTTGATTGGGGAGGAGAATACCAAGTTTTAACCAAATACTTCACGGAAAATGGTATCTCTCAAAGAATTGCATGTCCTAAAACATCATAACAAAATGAGTATGTTAAGCAAAAACATCGCTATATAGTTTAAATTGACTTAACTCTCCTTCATCATGCATATGTCTCATTACCATTCTGGACCTATGCCTTTGATACTCGTTGTGTACACCATTAATAGACTTCTCACACCCTTTCGCTATGACAAGTCCCCTTATTTCACCCTTTTTGCCACGTTACCCTCGCACGAGTGAACTTAAAATTTTTGGTACGTTTATATTACCTTTGGTTAAGACCATATATTAGTCATAAACTTGTCTTTCGCTCTTCATCTTATGTTTTTTAGGATATGTCAAAGTCTTTAAGGTGCTTGTTTGATGATCGAAATAGAGTGATAGGAATGAGAACGAAAGTTTTATTTTCACATTGTAGTCTGTTTGGTTAAAAGGAATGAAGCGAGAATGGTAATGAAGAGTGGGAATGTGGATAAAAATTTACACACAACTTCATTCCCACATAAGATGTGAGAATAAAAATAAGGCATGGGAATAAAAAGAATTTTCAAAATAATAATATATTTTATTTATTTATTGTCTATTAACTACTTTTATCACCACCAAACATAACCACCACCACCATCGTACCACCACCACCATGCCACCACCACCATCACAATCATCACCACCGGCATCATCACCACCGCCACCACCATCACCACCACCACCACTACCACTATCGTAACTACTACCCCCACCACCACCATCATTTTTATTATTTTTACAACTATTATAGTTTGATAAAATTATTTTTTAATTATTATTTTTATTTATATAAAAAATCGGATATTAAAAAATTTAAATTGTATTTCGATTCCTCATTAGTATTTCAAGCACGATATGAGAATACAAATGCAATTTCGATTTCTTAATTTTCATTTCGATTCCTGTATTTTTATTCGCACCACTCTATTCCTAATTACCAAACAACACCTAAATATTATATATGTTATAATTTATCTATCAAAAAGTTACATATCTCACACCGTGTCTCGTTTGATGAATAGATATTTCGGTTTTTTATATCATGCAAAGACTTATTGGTACTCCATAATCCATTAGAAATCACTTCTTTGCCACTCCTCGTTACCAAACCGGATACTCTCCACAACATCCGATTCCCCATCACCTATTAATCCTAAAACACAAACCTTACAACCTGCCCTCCTTTTTCACATATTCAATTCCCATCTTAAATTTTGAATAATAGTCACTAATGCCACATCTACCTTCTATATCCCTTACTATAAATATCATACCGTATAAACTCACCCCTATAACTTCTTCACATAAGCTGTCATCTTTTACCAATATCTCTACTCCACTACGGTCTCATCTATTGTCCAATCTTACACTCCTTCCCAATCCAATAGACTCACATCATACATACATAACAACCCACTGCCTCTCATCACATCACCACCGATCACGATACTTACAAAAATTCCCCACTCTTTCTCCTACAATAGAAACTATCACTACCGACCCATAGCCTACTATCCCTATTCCACCAGCTGGAACTTCCTTCACTACTCGCCGGACCTCTAATAGGTATAGCTCCCTCTCATGGCACGGTGATCCTTCTAAAACTAGTAAGTTAAAGCTCTGTATCTTCATTGCCATTGACGGTACTACATAACCATCTACATACTACTAAGCTTAGTCGACCCTCACTTACGAGCGACCATGGCTATTGAATTGCAAGCACTTATTGACAATGGTACATGGGAGCTTTTCCCACCACATCCAACCTATAATGTTATTGGGAACAAATGGGCTTATAGGGTGAAGACCAACAATGATGATATCATTGATCGGTACAAAGCGAGGTTGGTGGCCAAAAATTCAACTAAAGACTAGGTCTAGACTTCATAGATACATACAACCATGTCATTAAATCGAAGCTCTTCATTTAATCCTTTCTATTGCGAGTCTCTCATGTTTTACGTGTTGATCTCTAACACATTCCCTCATGGCCCTTTGGAAAAAGTTATCTACATGACACATCCTCTTACATTTATTGATGAAGACCATCCCACTTATGTTTTTAGGTTATGTAAGTCTTTATATTGGTCGAAGCAAGCGCCATGCCAATGGTTTAAATGTCTCATTGATAAGCTCACCTCCTTAGGCTTTTAAGGGTCCCAAACGAACGTGTTTCCCTTCTTCAAATGCACTTGGAAAAGATCTCACATTCCGCCTAATATATGTCGATGATCTTATTGTAATGGGTAGTAATGATGCACTAGTAACTTCCTTTATTGCTATACTTCAATCTAGCTTTCCGGTGAAGCATCTTGGTATATTCAATTATTTCTTAGGGATAGAGGCATCACTGGGACATTGATGGTTTACTCCTTCATCAACATAAATATGCTAGTGAAATTCTACATAAGGCACACATGCATGCAGTGATCGCATTAGTACTCTAGCATGCCCAAATACTCGATTACGTGCTTTGCAGTAAGGGCACCATTTGATGATCCATCCTTTTATCACGGTTTGGTTAGTGGCCTCCTCTACCTTGGCATCATTAGGCCGGATCATTCCTTCTCTATAAATAAGGTGGCTTAAGATATGCATGCTCCAATTGTAGAACATCTGGGTTGCCTTAAAATGAATGCTACGTTATCTTCAAACAACACTTGACCATGGTATATGCATTAAAAAATCCTCTAATTTTGTTATTAATGCTTATACTAATTTAGATTGGGGTGGTGATGTCTATGATCGGAAAAGTACCTCAAGTTTTGATATCTACCTAAGCAAGAATTTGATATCTTGGTGTTCTCAAAAGCAATGTATTGTTGCTCGTTCATCCACTGAGGCTGAATATCGTGCCTTAGCCACTACTCGTTGTTGAAATTGAATGGATAGAATCTATCATAAAGGAGATGGGTATGCCTCTTCATCATTCACCCAAAATTTAATGTGACAACATATCTGCTACTTATCTTACCACCACACCTATTTTTCACTCTCGATCTACACATTTAGAAATAGATTTTCACTTTGTTAGGGATAAGGTCGGCAAGGGTATGTTACAAGTATGTTATTTGCCTTCCACTAATCAAATTGCTAACATCCTAACAAAACCATTACTAGAAATCAATTTCAACGGCTAAGAGACAAGTTGCACATTCTCCAAGTTCCTACCCGACTTGCGGGAGGATGATAAAGGTAAGATTTACTTGGTTAATATCACTATTTAACTTTATGTATTTATCCTTCTTATCTATGTACAATTAGTGTTCTATTAGCTAACTAACTCTTGTGTGTGTGTGTATATATATGTACAATTAGTATTCTATTAGCTAACTAACTCTTGCGTGTATATATATATATATCTACTGTAACACAATATAATATAAAGGAGATTATTCAATTCTACGGATACAACTATGTAGTTCATTGTCGAGTTTAGATATGAAAAGTTTACTCGTTATTAATATTGTTTCTATTTATTAAAGTAGCAACTCACTTATTAAAATTTAGTCGGATTTTATTATTAGCAATTAATTATATGTTCTCAATATTTTCATAATCAACAATTTATTAGAGTTTTTTTTATTAAAAAAAAATTGAAATTCCTCTCATTTTCGAAAGGAATATAACGAATTATGTTCCATATTCCATCATTAAATTCTAAATTGCATGACTATATATGTCGAGTGAAGAAAAAAAATAATTATAGAATTTTTTAGGTTTTTTTATTAAAGATTCAAAGGAAGCTCGAATTGCATATCTTGCTAGTCTTCGAGGAGATCATCTTGATAATCAAGGTTAATACAATCATTAAATATAGTGCATCTTCTACAATAAGATGGGTACTTTTAATATGTATGAGAATCATGACCTTTCATTTGGAATCTAATTGTTTAAATTTAAGAAATATGACCAAATATATTAGAAAGGAAGGATCAAAATCCACTTGGAAACATATAACAACTCTACTTTTTCCTTATCATAATAAATTCAGTTTGGTACAAATTAATACACATGAATTAATCAAGCTAATTAACTTAAATCTTATACATTAATGCACAACAAAGTATTTAGTCTAAGAAAAAATTGGGTATCACAAATTATATATGTCATTGATTGTCCATAAATTATTTATTTTGGTGTGAAATCCTCTCATATTCTCTTATGTATATCCATACATGTAAATTATTGTACATAAATTAAAAAATTAATTACATTATATATGTTCATGAATGTTAGAAAACATATCTCATATTAAATAGTTAAATAAAAAATAATTAATATATGAAATTGAGAAGGAATCACCTACTATAAGGTTTAAGTCCTTTGAATGAAATCCAATCTCAGCTATCCGATTCAATATTGTCTCAAAACCTCAAAAAAGCCAAACGATTCAATAAAAATCTTGGAACCCAAGCTACTTGATAAATCTCAAAAAATAGACTGTAAGTGAGGAAGGATATTAAAGAACACACCTCATATTGAATAGTACTTAAACAAAAAATAAGTAATATATAAAGTTAGAAAGGGGTCATCCAAATTTAAGTCTTTTAGATAAAACTTAATTCCGATTATTTAACTCTATAATGTATTTGTTGTGTTGTATTTTGTGACAATGAATTCGTGATATCTAGTGCCCATCTATGTAAATTAGATTGAAGACAAACTATATATTTTCGTCGTACCATTATTATTGGTTAATTTGAAAAAAAATAATAAAGAAATACTTATAGTTCATATCAGTATTGCCTTTACTATGTTATTTCTTTTTTGTCCTTAAGTTGCCTAAACGACTCTTATATTCTTGTATTGTGAATCTGAAAAATATTAGAGAACAAGAAAGAAAATTTAGTATTTATAAAATTGTTCTTACAAAATAAAATAAAATAAAATAGGACAATTAAAATTCTCAAAAAGGCCAATAATAATGAAAAATGAAAACCATGCATTAATTTAAAGAACATAATTAATTAATTAATTTACACAACCCTAGCAGCTAAAAATAATTAAATTAGCATGGTTTATATGCATGGAATATGTTTAAACCTTAAATAGTTTTTTTTAATCATTCAAATAGTTGAAATATTAATATGGAACTAATATTTAAAAATGGTAACCACATGGAACAGAACATGCTCTAGCTAGTTCTTAAATAAAGGATAAATAAATTAAACTGTTTTAAGTGGGGAGAATAACAATTAATATAACGAAACCCTAGTTGGGATTGAGCATGAGAATGTGGGTGACGACCTCATTGAATTCCTTTATTACAAGAAACATTTCCCAACGGCCATATTCGGTTGATGAGGTCGGTAAAACGGTTTGATTGCTGCCGTTGCAAGTTGCAACTCATCTCTCTGCAGAGTCATCGAGATACAGCGTTAGGATCATTGCACCTGGCGCAGCCAAAGGCTTGCATGTGGCAGCTAACTTTGGTTTCTATAATATTAATTAAGAAAAGTTGCACCCAGAAAAAGAAAAATGTTAGCCGAAGGTGAATTTTCAAATGGACTTCTCTTAACCCTAGGTGCCGCCCCCTTCTTCCTTACCACTTCTGCTGCATGCAGTCTGCACAGCCATCACACTCACTCCACAGATATATATATAGATTTAGTCTTTCAAGTTGGTGGAGAGAGGAGACAAAGGGTCAGGTGGGTCTCGAGTTTCCACTAAAAAATGGAATGATGAGGGGGTGAACATGTGGTGCTTCGGTCCAACAAGTTTTTCTTGTTTATCTGAAACCTCATTACTGTATTAGACGTGTCACATAAATTCTCACCGTTGTTAACAAAATTAATTATTGCTAATTCTTCCCACATTCTGGTAACTCAGCGTCTTAATCCCATTTTATTTTCTTAATCATTATATTTGTGGAAATGAAATAATTAGAGAATTAAATACTTGTTTGACTCCATCATAACATATATTTAATATATTTAATTGTGGAGGATGCTTACCACTTAAGATGGAATATAAGTTAATAATTTAGCGTCAAAATGGGTTCTCATATGGTCTCTTTGAATGCCTAGATACAATATGCACATGGTGATAGCATGCATCATTGCAGACCATGGTAGGTGACCTACACAATGTAACTCTAGGTTTTCTATACTAATATTATATTACTTAATCATGAGTAGTCGATTCTCTTAATTACGTGGTTTTCTTCTTCCTAGGTTAATTATTCTTAGGAAACTAAGGAAAGTATAAGCTTGATCTAGAACACTTATAAGTTCCGAAGCCATGACATTGATTAGAATCTCAAGGTTCCTAGCTTAAGGGCGATCGAGATGTTCGAAATGTCAAGTGCAAGATGGGTAGAACTTTTTTTAGCAAATATATGGAATATATGAAGATTCATGCACGTTGAATATTTCACGAAGCCCATTGTTAGAGTTTTAAATAATTTCAACTTCCTAACAAAGATTTTAAAATCCCAATTATTTTATAAATCTTAAAAAATAAATTATAAGTGAAAAAAATTAAAAATATATCTTACATTAAATAGATAAATAAAATATGAGTAATATATAAAGTTGAGAGTCATTTAAAATGATTTCAATCTTAATTACCTAACCCTATACCTATTAAGAATGTATTTATATTTTTAAAAAATTACTAGGTATATCAAAAATTTT